TTTTTTTCAATTTTTCCGAAAATGTCCATTTTCCCCGGAAAAAAAAACAAAACGGTTTTTTTCCCGAGCTTCAAAATTTCCGGAAATTTTACATCTCTAGTCACTATATCTCAAAAAGGACCTTGCAGAGCTGGGAAAAGTACAGAGGAGGGCAACCAGAGTAATGAGAAGATTGGAGCCCCTTCCCTCTGAGGAAAGGCTGAAGAGTCTGGGACTTTTCGGTTTAGAAAAGAGACAACTAAGGGGAGACATGAGAGAGCTTTATAAAATTATTATGGGGTGGAGAGAGTTGACAAAGAGAAATTTTTCTCCCTCTCCCAAAATACCAGAAATGGAGGGCATCCAATGAACCTGATGGGCAGTAGGTTCAGGATGGACAAAAGGAAATACCAATTTACACAGAGAGTGATTAAAATGTGGAATTTGCCGCCAGAGGATGTAATGGCCACAGGAATAAACAGTTTTAAAAGGGGATCAGACAGATTTATGGAGGATAAGTCTAGCCATCGTGACTGAGGGGGAACCTCCCCATTCAGAGGGACTAATCCCCTGAATCCCAGAGCCAGGAGGCAGCATCAGGGAAAGGCCTCGGCCTCCACGCCCTCTTGCTGGCCCTCCAGAGGAACTGGCTGGCCACTGTGTGAGGCAGGATGCTGGACTAGGTGGACCACTGGTCTGATCCTGCAGGGCTCTCCTTATGTTCTTAATTGATTGGTTAATTTGGAATATTTCTATGTTGACTTTTCAGATTCTGACTCAAGGCAGCTTACAATTTTTTTAAAAGTTATTACAGAAATAAATACCAGCTATCATGGCTGGATCCTCAGCATTATGCACTCGGTGGCAGCAGGCTGGGAAACAAACAACTGAACTGCACTGGAATGTTAAACGGGATGTGTTGGTAAACTGAATGCAGCAGTGCCCTTTCTCAAAAGTGGAGCCCCGTAATTAATCAGGTTGCTCTTGGGCAATAGCTGTAGATCGACAGACATCCAGCACCATTTGGGGCTTCTTAGTTTAGAGGGAAAGATAACTAAAAACTGACAGACGTGGTCAATGTTCCCTCTAAGCTGTGGGGTCTTGTGAGCAAAAATTCTACTTTGTGAGCGACTGGCATTAAAGCTGTGAGCGAGCGATTTGGCTACTGCATAAATTAGCTTGCTCTGGAGCCATCCTTCCTGAGCCAAGACAAAAATGTGTGAGCCGGAGGCTAAAAAACTGTGAGCTGGCTCACACTAACTCAGCTTAGAGGGAACACTGGACGTGGTATTAAACTATGCTTGGCATGGGAAAAGTGGACAGAATTTTTTTCTCTTTCCTCTTAATATTAGAACCAGGGAACACCCAAATAAGAAAACTGATGGGGATGAGATCCATAGCTGAAATCCTTCTTTGCCGAAGGGATAATTCGTAGGGTTGCCAACTCTGAGTTGGGAGAAACCTAGAGATTCGGAGGCGGAGCCAGGGGAGGGTGGGGTTTGGGAAAGGGAGCAACCTCAACAGGGTATAATGCCATAGAGTCCACCCTCTAAGGCTGCCATTTTCTCCATGGGAACTGATTTCTGTCATCTGGAGATCGGTTGCTGGCAACCCTAGGTAATCAGCCTACAGCAGTCACTGCAAAAGGATGTAAAGGCTACTTATGCTGGCTTTAAAAAGGGATTGGCCACTTTAATGGAAGAGAGGTCTATCAATGGTTAAATGGAGCCTCCATGTTCAGAGGCAATAAAACTTTGAAGACCAGTGCCAGAGGACATGAACAAAGCTTCAACACCCGCACCTTGCTTGTTGGCCTTCTTTGGACGCGGGAGCGGCAAAGGACTCCGATTAGCCACTGTGTGCAACAGGATAATTGGACAAAGGGGCCATTGGTCTGATCCGACAGGGCTCC